TACTTAACAAACCTATCGTACTTATTGCTATTAACAAGTTACTTCCCAGATGTCTGGCAAAAAAGCAATAATCACAGTAATTCAAAAATCCACAACCAGAAATTAAAGTAACAATAACTTTTTTCAATTAGTTTACTTAGAGGTTTAGGTAAACTACTAGAATGAATAGTTTCTAACTGATTAATTTACTTCTGTGAAACTAACAATCTTCTTTCCAATATATAAAACTCTTCCCAAAATGAAACCCACAGCAAAGACCATTTAACCCGATGACTACCGGTACTAACTTTCTTAGTAGGCAATGCAAGTGTGCATTTGTGACTTTAAAAAATGATAGAGAACTTATCTTTTAATGGATTTCTGATTTTATTTTTATAAATAGTAGCATAACATTCAATTATTTGTACAAAATAGTATTCTTTAATGAAGTTTAAAGAGGAATTTAATGAAAAAATTCTTAAAATACGTTTTAGACTGTAAACAAGCGCCCTCTAAGAAGAAATGTTTTTTTCAAAAATTTTTTAAGATATTTCCTTTCACCTCAGCACTGGTTCTGCCATCTATGGTTAGTATCTAAACTTTTTTCAAGTGTGTTTTGATTATAAAACTGCGTCTGGGCGTGTTAAACCTCAGTTGTAAAACTTTTAGCCAATCCTAGTCGAAAGTGTCAATTTCAGTACCAATTATTCCAATTGCTGTATCTCCCATTTGACAAATCATAGGATGATATGGAAAGCATGTGATGAAACGTTGTTCTCTGGATTTTACAATATGAATGTGGGTGGTGCTTATTATAGTAACTGCAATTTTATGTACAGGTTGTATTTAGTACTGGCCAATAGGGCTTTTCAATAAGCGTTAGAAAAGTTGCTTCTGGAAAAAACTGCATGGGATATATGTGACTTTTATTTTTCTTATATAGTAGCTTAAGTCATGCTGCATGGTATATCTGTTTATATTAATCATTATATTGAAAAATTAATTCAAAATAGATATATTTGTTAGGAAAGAAGTTGATCCACAATTATTAGGATTAAGAGTTACCGAGTGGCGAGTGCAAAGTCTTTACATGAATTAGACTTAGGACTTTGAACTGAAAGAGTTTGTGATTTTTTTATATTCCTTTGACTTTAAATTTGTAGTTTTAAGCTCAATAATTTAGCATAATT